AGCATATGGAAAGACCTTGGAGCTTAGTATGTGGAGAAATGAGAAAAAAATAAAATAAAAGCAGACGAACATTGAAGGTCCTTTAGCAGTGACACAATCTGATTTGGCATTTTTAGAAAGATCCCTCTGCAAAAAAAAAAAATCAGAAAAAGGAAGAAGCAGAGGCCAGTGCAGGCTGCTGTGGTTATCCAGGAGAGAGGTGACAATGACTAGGGTGGTGGCAGAGAGATGGAGAGATGAGACACATTCAAGGAATGGTAAAGCAGAATGGACAGGATGTGGGCTTTGCATAGAATTGCGACCACAGCTTCCAAGGACCTCCTGAGGTGTCCCTGAGCCCTGGACACAGGTTTTGTTCTGTCAAGGTGCTCAGGCCATGCAAGTCATGAGCAGGTTCGGTTAGAGAGGGTGGGGCTCTTCTCTCGCAGCCTCCCCCACCATTTCCCACAACCCCTCTCAGGTTCATTTCCCATAAGCTCCCTGTCATGGGTTGAACTGTGTCCTCTCAAAAGATATGTTGAAGTGTTAACCCTCAGTACCTGTGAAAGTGACTTTATATGGAAATAAGGTCTTGGCAGATGTAATCAAGTTAAGATGAGGTTATTAGGATGGGCCTAATCCAAGATGCTTGATGTCCTTATAAGAAGGGAAAGCAAAGACACACAAGGGGACAAACCGTATAATGATGGAGGCACAGACAGAAGAGCTGCAGGGCAAGCTAAGGCACACCTGGGGCCAGCAGGAGCTAGAATTGGCGGGAACAGTCCTGCCCTAGAGGCCCTATGGTAGCGTGGCCTCCAGAATTGTGGGAGAAGAGGTTTCTGTTGTTTACGCCACTAGTTTGTGGTCCTTTGTTACAGCAGCCCAAGCAGACTGCTAGAGATCTGCTCCCTTACTCTTCCCGCCTCTTTTTTCATGCTTTCTGTGTAGTCCTCTGACAGGTCAAATTCAGCTCTGTTCCCAGAAGCACGTTCCCTTGAGGCCCCTCTGTCCACAAAGCCGCCCAGAATCTGACAATGCTGTTAGGCTCTGTCGTTTTGATGGCTGATTGGCTGGTCTCACACGCCTGGTGCCCGAGACACACAGACCCCTCCTAACCAGGCAGCCCTGCTCCCAGAGGCTGCTTTCAAGCCTGCGATCTGGGAGGCTCTCAAACCATCTCTGCCTGGGGTTGGCCCTGCTTAGCATCCCAGGAGCATCCATTTCCCCTCTAAACTGTCCATCAGTACTTGGTGCTGACCCACCTTCTTCCACAGATGTGTTCCCCAGGAGGATGTATTCTCCATGGCCCTGGGACAGCACCACTCCCAGGCTGTGGAGAGAGCAGAGATCCCATGTTCTCATCAACACCCAGAGCAAGTCAACACACCAGCCCATGTCCTGTCCGTCACTAACCCCAGTTTATGAGCGCTCCATACCCATGAGAAGGGGTATGTATGCCAAGCCACCTCGTGCTGCTGGCCTCACAGGTGGGCCCCTCTAGAACTAAGGCAGCACTTCTATTTTTTTCATTAGCCTTTCTTCCTGAGAAGGACCCTGGAAATTCTATAGGCCAAAGTTTCCCCTCAGCTCCCATTTTAATCAAGCTCATCCTGAATCTCTCAGGGACCCCCTGAAATGTAGAAAGGCCTCTATGTCTCACAGAGCCCCACAAACAAGAGGGTCCCTTCCCACCCGGTGAATCCCACCATGCATTCCTCTCTCTCTTCGTAGAATATTGCTTTTGAACCTTGGCTGAATATCTGAATCACCTAGGGAGCTTTAAAAGATACTAGTGTGTGGGCCCCATCCCAGAAATTCCAAGTAAAATGGTTTGGATGGGGCCTGAGCATTGTCAATTTTATAAAATTCCTCAGGTATTCTAATCAACAGCCAGGGCTGGGAACCATACTTTATTGGAAAATGAGGTAATTCAGAGGTAAGTGCTGTTATTTTCCTAATCTGGATATTACCTAGAGTTGAATATTTATACAGTTGGAGGGAACAAAATCTTCAAATTTGATCTTTCATCTAACAATTGCTTACAACTGCATGCTGTAAGAACTGTAAATAGATTATGTCACTAAATCCTCACGATGCTGCCAAGAAGTAGCTACTATTATTAACCCCCATTTTACAGATAAGGAATCTAAGGCACAGAGAGGATAAGCAATTTGACAAAGGTCACACAGCCTATAAGAGGTGAAGCTGGGATTCAAACCCAGGCAGTTTGGTTCCAGACTCTGCACACTAGGCTACACTGGCAAAGCAGATCTAGACCTCTCAAATTTCCTGAGTGCAAACACGGGTCTTTTTTTGTTACCACAAAATCGCCAACTAACTATGCATAAATTTATCCTTAGACCTGAAAGCTGTACCCTGAGTTGTTGGTATTCATGTTCTAGCCACCTGTCCCCCCATAAATAAAACACGGGTCCCTTACCTGAAAGGTGTGTCACTGATGTCTGTGAAAAAGTAGTCATTGGTCAGGAAAAGAACTCTCTTCTGAAAGGAAAGAAAGAATGTTTGCTGGAGAGAAGAGTGTTTGACCATGCTACCCAACTCCTCTGGGGTGCCCCTGGGGTGTCAGCACCTCTGTGCCACTTCCCTCACTTCTTATCCCTTCCCTGACCATCAGCAGTGTGACTCAACCTGTGGACGCTGGGGACAGAATCGTTGCAAGCCCAGCAAACCACAGCCTTGAGGGTGGCCTGACTGAAGACCAAAGGTCAGACCTGTGCTGTCCCATAAAATGGTCACCAGGCACATATGGCCACTGAGCCTTGAAATGTGCAAGTGAGGAAATGAGTTTTCAAATTTTAGTTAAGAGAAATTTAGATTGTCAATGTGGCCAGTGGTGACTATTGGACAGTGCAGGTGTAGACAGTGATTTTAGGATCACATGGGAACAGAGCTGAATATTTACACAGTTGGAGGGAACCTAGGTGGTGCTAAAAGCTTCTGGGGCTCACATGTGTCCTGCCCACCACCAACCTTCCTCTCTCTTGAATACAGCCGAGGGAGAACGGGGTCACCAATCTCTCCACTAAACCCCTCTCAGGGCCATGTTACCCTTTACAACCCCTTTTTCCATTCAAAGCTGCCATCTTTAGGTTTCAATTGAATTTGCATAAATTAGGGCATCGGGTAGTGTATACAGTGGCTAAGGGCATGGGCTGAGCATTGACAGATCTGAATTTAAGCTGTATGCTCTGGGGTAGTCACTTCACTTTTCTAAGCATCAGAGTTCTCATTTGTAAATCAGGGTTAACAATAGCGTCTCTTGTGTACAGCTGCTGTGAGGTCGTGAGTGTGTTTTTAATGGAAGGAGTGGGTTTAGGGAAAAGCAAGATTTGTTCTGGGCTCTGGAGTTCTATGGATTGTCTGGTCCATGGACTCAAATTCATGTCATTGGGAAAGCCACGTGTTGCAGTTGGCTCAGGAGTTGTTCATATTCCATTCACTTCTTTACTGGCTTTTCTTCCATTTCAGAACTGGAGTAAGATGTTGGAAGGGATATAGTGGGACAGGGGTGGAAAAAAAAGGCTAGTTTCTATAGGAAATTGACTGAACTGAATAAGAGAAACTAACTGAACAGTTAGTTCTCTGGCACTGGCATCATCCCAGGTGGTGCTCTCCTACACCTCTGCTTCAGACAGATCCTGTCTCCATCTTCCCTCCTTGAGTCATCACGGGGCAGTCCGGAGCCAGCAAGGGCGGCGATGGGTTGGGAGCCTTGTGCTTCAGGGTGGGGCTGCTGGCTTGAGTGTCCAAACTGGAGATTGTTGTTTAAATTTTTCCTTCTTTTTTTTTTTAATCGAAGAAAAAGGCAAAATGGACAAATCTTATGTGTATCATTCCATTAGTTTTGATAAATATATGCAGCCATATAATTACCTCCCCAGTCAAGATATGGAAGATTTCATTCTTTATAACCTCTTTGCCCCCTTCTAGTCAATCCCCATCCTACTCCTCCATGGGCGAACTCTGTTCTAAAGTCTACACCATAGATTAGTTTTGTCTCTCCTCCTCCTCCTCTTCCTCCTCCTCCTCCTCCTCTTGCTTCTGCTTCTTCTGCTTTTCTTCCTCTTCTTCTCCCCTTCCTCCCTTGCCTACTCCTCCTCCTCCCCCTCCTCCTCCTCCTTCTCATAGCGTAGGCACATTCTATTGGTTTTCTTTCAGCTTTGCCTGTTCTTATAGTATGTACTCTTTTGTGTCTGGCTTCTTTTGCTCGATATGATGTCCTTACAATCCATCGATGCTGTTGAGTGTGTCAGCAGTGTGTTTCTTTCTATTGCCGAGTAGTACTCCAATGTGTGAATACACTAGTTGGCTTTTACATCCACCCATTCATGGGCCTCTAGGGTATTTCCAGTTTGGGTCTATAATGAATAAAGGTATTATAAACAATCTTGAACCAGTCTTCTTGTGGACATGTTTTCATTTCTCCTGATAAATACCTAGGAATGGAGTTGCTGGGTCATATGCTACATGTAAGTTTGCTTTTATAAAAAACTGCCAAACAATTTTCTTAAGTTATTTTATTATACTTCAACCAGCAATGTGCAAATTCCAATTTCACTACATCTTTGTCAGAATTTGGTGTTGTCAGTCTTTTAAACTTCAGCCATTGTAAAAGGTGTGAGATGGAACCTCATTGTGGTTAGTTTGTATTTCTCCACTGAGTGAAGAGCTGAGCATCTTTTCATGTGCTATTGGTCACGTGTATTTGTGAAGTGTCTGCTCAAGTATTTTGACCATTTTTATTGGGTTGTTAATCCTTTTGTTATAATCTGTAGGAGTCCTTTATATATTCTGGATACAGTCTGTACCTTGCTTTTTCATTTTCTTAATGGTGACTTTTTTTTTTAANGAGCTCTTAACCAACTGGGCCACTCGGCAGGCCCTCCCCCTTAGTTTTATTAATATGCTATTTATGCTAGTTTCCCAAGGTATCTTTTCTGATACACACCTTTGTTAAGAATATTTGCTTCTCAGTGTTTCTCAACATTAAAATACATCTCTGGGGCTGACCGAGTGGCTCGTTGGTTAACAGTTGGCTAGGAAAATGTAATCTGCAGTGAAACGAATTCAGGCACATTAAACAACAATAAATGAACCTGTAAAAATAAAATAAAATAATTAAAAAAAAAAGAGTTGGCTTGGGAGCATGAGCTCTGAGCAGCAGGGCTGCCGGTTATCCCACATGGGCTAGTGACACTGAGTCCTCTACAGCTAAGATGGTGAACAACAGCTCTACCTGGAGCTGGGCTGCCGTGAGTCACCTGTGGCAGTGTAGGCTGCAATGGGGCTGCAGTTGGCTGCCGCGAGCTACCGTGAGTGGCCAGCAGCCAGTGTGAGTGGCTGGCAGCTGGTGTGAGCTGCCGTGAGCCTCTGTGAGCGGCCGTCCAATGGCCAGCGAGCGACTACCTCACCTGGGAAGAGCTTAATGATCACAATACCAACATGGGCCAGTGAAGCAACGTCTTCCACAACTAGACTGAAGAACAAAAAGACAGCAACTTGTCTGTTCCCCTTCCCCAATTCCCCAATGCTGTTCCCTCCCCCAGTTCTCCAATAAAAATCTTAAAAAAACAAAAACAGAAACAATAAAACCAAAAACATCTCTGGCTAATCTCTGAACTTGGAAAGATGAAGATCATGTTCTTTCTTTCCAAACCTAGTGATCCAGCCCCCTCTGTGGGAGGCAGGACAGTGCAGGGGCTAAGAGTCTAGATCCCGGAATCAGGTAGCCTGGTGTTGAGTCCTGCTCCCCACTTGTGAGGCCTATGACCTTGGGCAAGTTGCTTATGTCACACTGCCTTGGTTTCCTCATTTGTAAAATGGAGACAATGATGGTACCTATAATGATAGTAGGGTGGTTGTGAGGCTCAATGGGTTAATGGACACTAAGTACTAAGACTAGTGCCTGGTTCACAATATTCTTTTTTGTTCTTTAGTTTATTTAATTTTGTCTACGTAATACATTCACATGGTTCAAAACTGTACCAAGAAGTTACACAGTGAAAAGTATCGCTTTCACCCTTGTTTCAATTACACATTTTTCTAATCAGAAGCAATCAATGAGAACTTTTCTTATATAGCCTTTCATATATATTTTATATATATGCATACACACCTGTACTATGTTTTTTTTTTCATACAGAAATGGTAGTACACTATGCACAGCATTCTTCATTGTTCCTATAATATTCTGTTGGTGTTTTCATTAAAATAGCATTAGTTAATTTATCAAGTGTCTAAGGGAGGTGTGACATCTTCATGATATTGATGTTAAGTCAGGAACAAGGTGTGGCCCATTGTATTCTTAACCTCATCAATATCTTACACCCTTTCAACACTTAATGTGTGTGTGTGCGC